AGAGGTCAGTTAAATGTTCTGGGAGAGGATGTCCTTTCTCTATACAAACTTTTAGTATACTGTAGTTCCCCAATCAGTACATTTTTTGGGACTTTAAACTTAACAACTTTTATAATACACGCTATAAATCACAGTGATTCACAATCTCGATAACTTTGCTCTCTGCAAGTACAAAACACACATTTTATATTACCCAAAAAACAGTAACTACTGTTCGCTTAACTATCATTCATTCATCATCATCCGCTGGCTTTTCTTGCCAGACTTATATACTAACAAAGAGGCTTCGACAAAATTCAAGGGGTTCCCTGATAATTCGAGAAACTCAGTCACTCATCCTCTAGCAGCGTCACATGACTTCCGCTGTCGTAACAATACTTTTCTTTAATTTTATTATCTGTACCCTTTGTCAGTCAACCTGGTTTCTTATCTGCAGCCACTATTTTTTGTTTATAAGGAACTTGCCTATCTGGAATACTTAAAGAATTTATTTTAAAATTTTTTCCACATTTGATCAGTATCTCCAACTAATGCAATTGCCGATTTTACAGCATATAATTCTTGTCCTATCTTTTCAAAATTTTTCTTCTTGAAACTTGGAACAAAAAATATCATAATTCTTTTTCTCCATATGTAGCAAAACATCAAATCTAGTTAAGCAATGACCACTTGCACAAACATTTTCCCAAACTCTACCATATCAGTCATTTCTTTATTAGAAGTTAACAGTAAATCTAATATAGTATTGTTCTTCCTGATAGGTTCCCTAATCAGTTATTGAAGAAAGCCATCCTGAACAATTTCTAAAAACCCATCCCTCTCTCATGATTTGACTTTTAACATTTCCCAATCCGTATGCCTTAAATTAAAATCCTCACAATTATAACCTCGTAGAATTCCTTAGCTCTATATAGCATTTCTCATTAATTTCATAAGTTTCATCTGGTTGAGCCTGTAACAAGTTCCAATTAAAAACCTTCTCCCTGTATAACTGCTAATGTACAGAAACCCAAAAAGATTCAGCCTCATTGCTAGTGCCTAGGACATTCTCAACCTAAACAGGTTGTAACTCACATTTTACATATAAAGCCACACATTTTGTTATTACTCTATTCCTATTAAACTACATATAACTTTGTATTTCAAAAACATTCCTGTGATCAAAATTGTCTGCATTTAGCCAAGTTTCAGTTATTCCCATTACAACAAATCCTCTCTTCCAACCAGTGCTGTTCAGCCATCCATTTTATTTCTTATGCTTCTGGCATTACAACAATATCAATTTAGCTTACCATTAAAACTACCTTTGTACCTTGTTTGCATATTATACTCGTCTCTACATCTTATTTTTTCTTCATTGCTCTGTCCATCTTCACTATTGTCTAATCTTAGTTTAAAGTTCAACTTATAGTTAATACCTTTGCAAATGAGCCAACCCTTACTCTATTAAAGTTTAAACCACCCATTCCAAAAAGCTCCCTATTCGTATATGAACTGATTCCACAACTTCAACCAGCCAACATGCTCTTCCTTGCATATTAAGCTGAGCCTAGTGTTTAGTCTTAGTGACCTATTTATAATGATATGAGTAATAATAAATTGGTAAAAAAGAACCATAAAGAGAAAAGAATATTTTTAAATCACAAATAAAAGATCAGGTGGGTACATGCAATACTATTTCTTAACAAGCAAAGTATCTTAAGTATCACATTTCACAGCCTAAATCCTATCTCTCTTTTTTATCTGTCTAACTTCTCTCATCTTAAGGCCTTTATTTTCTTGCCAGACCATGAAATTACACATAACATGACTAACTACTTAATACTTGTTGTTTTACATAATCAAACATGAATGTAATATCCATACATCACCAGTAGGGAAACCTTGTGTTGGTGTCTTGATATGAAAATCACTCGTTTAGTATCTAATATACACAAAGAGGTAAGTGAGCTAGCATTTAAGACAAATAAAAATAAAGCTAAACCAAATAATAGAAGGAACAATACATAAATGATAAACAGAACCATCACTAAAAATAAAATAGAAATTGTTACATCAAAATCAATTGCATAAATTACAATATAAGAAGAAATTGCATCTATATACAGAAGTCATGCATATTAAGATACAAGCCAAACACCAAAACACCATAAAAATCAGAAATGCATAAAAAACAACAACAATAAAACAAATAATGTGAGGTAAAGTAATAGCTAAATGAATCTGATAAAGTAAACTAAAAATGAAAATAACAAAAACAAACAAATTGACAATAATTGCAAATGGTGTACCAATATGGTGTTTTTGCTTTTTTGTTTGACTGGTGCTATTGTAAAATGTTTAATAAGTTATTCAGAATTTTAAAAAGTATCCAAGGTTTTAATTCTATTTTATTTCAAGAAAATAGAAAATATATATGTACACAGGTTATATATACTTAGTATTTTTTAATAGGTACAAGACAACTCTCCAGGGCAAAATGCTGGCTTAGAATCATTTTTCGATTTTATTGTAGCAGTAGGAAAAACAAGACTGGTGAGCATTTCTAGCATAAAAACTTATGCTAAAACTAGAATTAACAATAATATGATAAAGTTTCATAAGGACACCTGCTACATTTATGCATTCATCATTATTTTTAATCACATACAAACATGTGTCCAGGATATTTATTTGAACAAGGTTTACAGTTTTCAATAAAAGGTGATTTTTATTTAATTCCAGAAGTGTTTAAAATAGTTATCATTATAAAATTATCTGTTTGCTTAAGCACTTACTGTAAAGTCAACATATCTGAATGCCTTGAAACAAATATGGTTCTCTAAGCTAATTCATTAGGAAGAAATTATATAATTCTTTTTTGTACTTTATAAATGTAAATAAATATGTTTATTATACTGAAATTGCATTGAACTGTTTATTTCAATTGCCTTTTAGTAAAAGAAAGCCAGGTATGTCTATTTTGTCAAGATTTATTATGGAAATTTGACCATTTTTGACTTTAAGTTTATAACTCTTATAAATTGTGAAAGTTTTACTAAAATTTTGTTCACATTATCTCAGAATTATTTCATTATAAAGGATTTCTGTAAAACTTTCTAAAATCAGTAAAATAATAATTTTGCTATCCATTTGATTCACACTTGCTATGGTGTATGTATGTCAGTTTTATTCAGTCCTATAATTTTGCTTTTCTTAAATAAGAGTTTATTGTTAAAATTCACTGTAATAGTAATAAAAAACTGTCAAGTTAACATAGATATGTAACTGTTGTATTGAGCACTAACTGCATGGTACTTTAAAATAAGACAGGCTTTATATTTTATTCTACCATTATCAATCTCTCTATATGTAAACTATTTTGTGACACTGAGGAAATCTTTTGTTAATATAGCTAACAGGTTTAGGAGATTGGCACCATCATTGATTGCACTGATAAATATATATTTGTTAGTATTAAATATTACCTTTATTTTGGCCAACATACTTTTTTCTATAGAACATTTCTTTAATATTTTATGGAATATTATATTTTAAAATACCAGATTTCTAGATAATTTAATTCGGCTTTCAAATGTATTTTGGGCAATACTTCATTTATTACCAATTATAGTTGTGTCTTATACCTTTTATTCATTTCAGAGTCAAGACAATGATTATTTAAAAGAAGTTTTGAAAGCCAACGAGGAGAAACCAGTTATTATGACTGTTTACAGTAGTAAAACACAGAATGTCAGAGATGTAGAAATAATACCTTCCAATAAATGGGGAGGGCAGGGTTTACTTGGGGTCAGCATAAGATTCTGTTCTTTTGAAGGGGCAAATGAAAATGTGTGGCATGTTTTGGTAAGACATCAAAAAATGATCATTTATTTTAAGTGTTATATTACTGCTGTACTTTATCATGGGGGGGGGGGGGTGTCATTGAAAATACAATTCTCCCTAGATACATGTGTAGTGTAAAGGAAAGCAATTAAGAACTGATTTTTATAATTTTATTATGTATGTAGACAAGCTACACATTTACATAAATATTTACTCTATTTTCCAAAATTAAATCTTCAATCTTTCATATGGTAAACCCTTGTATTTAACTTGTTAAAGTTTCCTAGGTTGCTTATCTGTTTATTAGTAGAATGTCATTGTTGACTAACTTGTACAAAATAGGTAAGTTCTGAGCTGTAATGCTAGTTACACACATGTAAGCAGCAAATAAATATTTAACACTTAAGGGTTGAGTTTTGAATAGTGGATGAAACTATAGTAGAGGTTTTCTTGTACACCTAGATGACTTTTATATATAAAATACAGCACTGATTTTATGGTGATATATTTTGGACATTTCAGGTAACTTAATGTCAACTGATTTATAAAATGTTCTAAAACTTTATAGTTTTCATTACTAAATGACCATAATAACCAGTATTTGACAGTGATTTTATATGTAGTTTAAATCAGATTTTAAGGTGAAAAAATTGTTTCTAGAAAGAAGTTACACATGTATATGTAGTTTCATTATAGATTTATCTTCTCACAAAAAATGTAGGATATAAAACCACATTCCCCAGCAGAACTTGCTGGCTTTCAGCCTTTCTTGGATTACATAATTGGTGTTGATTCAGTTCTTCATGAGGTAGGTAGAAGAAATGTTCAGTTTTTGCATGAATTAGATTAACTTAAACTTACAGACTAATAAGTGAAACTGTATATTCGTAGATTTAACACAAAACACAACAAGATAGTCAGAATGAAGTATGACATGTATTTTAAATGTGAATGGGAGTTGAAGAGGACATCATATAATGGTTATGAACCAAGTAGATAGTGATAAAAATAGAATGTTGGTGAGACATGAAGGTAAATTTGGAAAACTTTTTTTTTAAGGAAGACCCTAATGCTTAAATGCCAGTGAAAGTAATTTTTATTTTTACTTTGACTTTATTGACATATTTGTCAAATAAAAACAAAATAGCACTGTAACAAAAGAAAGCAAAATATTACTATGCAATAAATTGAGATAAATTGTTTATTAAATAGAAAGCAAAATATTACTGTGCAATAAATTGAGATAAACTATTTATTAAATAGAAAGCAAAATACTACTATGTAATACAGTGGTGAAAAAATTTATTGCATCACCCAATTTGTTCACATTTTTCTTTGGAATCATTGTCAGTTTTGAGACCCTAATGCATGTAGGTGCAAATGTGTTTCATGGATGATGCAATACTGTCTAATCATTATATGAACAACTTTATAGTTTTTGTTCCTCATTACTTTGACTTAACATCCACCTCTCTTGTGTTCCTTGGCATCGTGAGAGCCTTTGCTTGTCATATTCATGACACAGGCCTGACATTCTTTTCTTGGACTATTTTTTTTTGTTAGCCCATTCTCAGATGTTTCATCCTCTTCAACCTCCATTCCCTTCCTATGATTACTCAATTAAAAGGGAGAAGTTGTTCTGGGATCTAAGTCTTTTCTCACATCCACTCAATGTTTGGAACCTTTGGATGTTTTTTCTTCTCTTGTCTCAACTGAGTTCAGTCTATTTTCTTTCTCTGTAAACTATGGCCAGTCTGGCCACCAGATTTTACACTTCTTGTTCTCTCTCTCTGCAGGAGAGGTGTTTTTGCTTTTGGAAACCTGGATTTCCTAGAACCCCTCATTTCTTTAGAGCATACACTTGTATCTCCTTCTATGATCCTTATGGGCCCATGGTTTTCATTTTTGCTGTCCATTTTCCTCATTTGCAAGCATCTCCTCAAGGAATTGTCATGGTGACTAGATTGTGTGCAGACTATTTCCTATTTTCCCTTACTACCTCTCAAGCTGGATTTCTTCCTTCTTCGATGCTTCCTTCTCCATTTAGGAACATTTCTATTGAGGTCAGGACTTCTGATGTTTTGATGCTAGTCATGTGCTCACTCCACATCAGTGTGCTCAACCTTTTCTCTGTTTTTTGAGCATGTGCTCATTCTTGCCCTACTGGTGGATCACTTGGTCATGTTCCTTTCAGTCTCTTCCATGATCATTTCTTGTTTTGACAGTCTATGATGAGGCTTCGTTTCCAGTTTCTTTTGCTTTTGGGTGTTAGACATACATCTTTGGACCCATTCACATCAAGTTAGCCTTCTTGCCTGCCCTTTGCCAAGAGCTGAAATTTTGGTGGTGGACTACCTCCCTCAGCCAGTCTACATTCTATGAATAGAGTGATCTCTATACCCCCATTTATTTTGTGGGGTTTGCTCTTGGTTGGATACATACTTTTTGGAGGCATTTGCCATCCTTCACAACTCTGGCTTCCTGTTTTATGGTCCACTATTCCTCATCCTGTGGTTCTAGATGTTGATTTCTTAGGCAGGCCTGGTCTCACCTTTTTCTATATGCCCATTCCCCTATTTGTTTTCTCCCTCTGGTCCTTGTCTTTACACACTACTTTCCTTCTCAGGTCTTGTTGTTAGTGCCTCTTTGCCCAGCTCAGTTTTGGGCTGCTTTCTCCCTTATGCATCCCTTCCTCATTGAGAATTATTTTCTTTTCTTCCTTACTCATGGAGTTTGCCTCATCTTTAATTTGTCAGGCTGGACTTTCCACATAAGTGGCATTATTTTTGTCACTGTTCCACCGTTTTCATCTATCAGCAATTATGACAAATCTTTTGTCGTTGATTATTCCACCACTCCTTTTCTCTTGATGGTCATACAGTGAATTACATTTCTGCCTATCTTACTTGACTGTTTGTCAGTCTCTACCTTTACTCGTATTCAAGAGGCCTTGTCCTTTTCCCTTTTCTGGTACTATGAGGTGTTTCTTCCCCTGACCTCTTCACTTTGGTCTGTTCCTTCTTCCTCTTCCATCCTTCTCATCCAGTTTCCATGCTTGACTGAGTCCTTGAATTTTGTGAATACCCCATTCAAACTGTTGACTTCCTGTCTTGTGTACCATCTTTCTTTTCTGAATTTCTTCCTCGTGCTTGCCTACTATTATCATTGTCTAAATGTCTGTTCTATAGATGTTTCTTGCACCCTTTTCCACTGCACTTCTATGTCCCTTTCTCCAGACTGATGTTTCCTTCCTTTGACTTCAACCACTCGGGAAGTTAACTATACTTCTCTCCTATCTCCCTTCCTTCTGTCTCTCATTTATTGAACCTTTCAGACCCTGATCAACTCCTGTGTTCTGTTGGGCTGTTTAATGTGCTTTATCATGGACTTCTCCCTTTCAGGGTTCATGTCTTCATCTCTCCCTACCCTGGGTCCCCTGTTTTTCCATGGGCCTCTTTCCCTCAGCTCTTATTGGATGGGTCTGTTGACTCTTCCAGTTGGCATGTTCAATTTGAGTTGTAGATACTTGCAGACTATTTCCCCTTTTTTTTTTTCATTCGATTCATCACCTCTTTCATTCTCTTACACCTCTTCTTCACTAGTCCGAGGATGAGCTCCTTCATATGAGCATGTGGACTCTCTCCAGACATTAGCCTACTTCTCTACATCTTCTAGCTACTTTATCTTCTGATGGTTTTTGGCTTCCACAAGTCAATATTCTTCTGTCATCAGATCTTTTTGAAGAATATGTACTATTTCTTTTCAGGGCCTCTTTTTCCTTCACAGGATCCCACCAGATGGCTGATGGTGCCTCCCAGTGTATACTTATCCAAAATTTGCATCAAGGCAGGATAACAGAAAGCACTTATACCATCTTTCTTGGCTCTGCTTGTGCCCACTGTAAGATGGGGTGTTCTGCAAGACCACATGGGGTATCCTTGTTACGTACATTGAGGTTGAATGGTAGATATTCTGGATCTGCTGAAGGACAGTTGACTTCATTATGTCTAGAACTGTAGGGTTTGGTAACATTAGAGAACAGGCTAGTAGCACGTCTACTGGCTTTTTTGTCAACTTTGGAGAACTGATTTTGAGACCCAAAACATGGGTTCTTATTCAATTTTCTTTTGTGTTCTTATGATTTTTCAAATAGTTACACATCACCTTGCACTAAATGTTATTTAATTGATGGAATTTTGTTGACTTATCGTAATTCTCAGAACTAGAACCAAAATTAATTCAGTAATTGGTTATGATTGAAAACGATAAATTTGCAGCCTATTTGCATGTATTTCTCCTCATTTTCCTTCTGAACAAAGTTCTACCCAGAATCTTTGGTTTTTTTCCTAATGCTTTTTGTAGAATTCATTTCCTGCCTTTAACAAAGCTTACATAAAGTTTCTCATAGCTTTCTCTCTGCTACACTTGCATCTGTTTATGTAGATAACATAAACAGTTGGTTCTACATACTGCCTGGAATGCATCTTAGTTTATGCTTGTCATACACATTTCCTTTCTTGGTCAAGCATCATTATGTAACTTCTCTTATGCATTCACTGAGTGTGCACACTATTTCTACATATTGCATATACTTGTGCCACACATGGAGTTTTATGAGATTTATATTTTCTCAATTCTTGAAACATTTGAAATATCATAAAATGCTTCAAAATGCCACAAATGCTTCACACATTACATTTAAATCCCAATAGCATGAATACTGTGCCCTCCTCCTGCGGCTGAATTCTGTCCTGTAGAGTAGAGGTGAGCACACCAGGTATGGTCTGAAGGTGCCCCAATCACACTACACATATTGGCTATCCAACCTCTTGCATTCCAGTACTTGGATGGTCATATTTTTATTCTGCTCATCTATACGACACATAGGGATTTTTTTTTCCTCTTTCTCCCTTACCTTCCAGGTGAAGAGTATACCTTGAACAAGATGAGATGTGGTCTCCCATGGGTACCCCTATGGAGCCCCTGCAGTTGGGTGTCAAACTCCATGGGCTTCCTTTGGGTGCTTTCTGAAGTGAGCTCATTTTATAAAATTTGCACTAGCCCCTCCACCACTTCAGTGTGGGATTCTAGCTAAACTGTGTGAAGAGGTGAGGTGTTTTCTCTGTTTTCCTTATATAGGGGAGTTATTGTGCATGGAGATGTGTCACCCTCCTATTGATGGAGGACTTTTGTCATAAGATGGCATCATCATGCATTAGCACAATTCACATAAGATCTCATGAAATTAAGTGAGAATTGCCTAAAGGCTAGTGGCATGCAAATCTTTAAGGCAGATACACTGGTAAGATATCTAAACTGTGTGCTGAGATATCTGTTGGAGAAACGTTTTCAGGTAAAGAAAATTTGAACTTCAAGGATGATTCTGCTTCATGCCACTGGCATAGGCATCACTAGGTTCTTGAAAGTTTTAGGGCTTGGGCTCATAGTCGTGGGAATTTTCATCTTTTCAGTATGGTGTCAATCATGGTTTTCGATTCTGATTTTTCAAGACATCAACTGGGAATTTGAGACACTGTGTGCCAGTGCGTAGTGATGCCTATTCATGTATTATACAGTAGATACGAAATAAAGGCCAGTAGTATGCAAGTCTCTAAAATAGATGCACGGGGAATATGACTAAACAGAAGTATCCATCAGAAATGTATTTTCAGGTAAGGAAAATGTTAACTTCCAGGATGACTCTGCTCCATGCCATGTGGATAAAAAGGTGGGTAATATTCATGCATTCTATGCAGTAGACATGAAATAAAGAGGAAATTTAATTCTATATGTGTATTGAAAAGACATCTTAGGTTTTATTTCATTTCAAAAACTACTGGAAGGTAATGTTAACAAAGTGTAATAGAAGAAGCTGGGAAGTTCCTCAGAACTGCAGGAAGCCATAATATGTAAGTGACATCATGAACTCCCCCCAACCTACATTCAATTCCTTGTGCATCCTATGCCATGGCAATGTCAAGCAGTTATCAAGGTCAGAGGGGGCACAACTAAAAATTAAAACAAGAAACAGACTGTGTGACCACTTTTTGTCAATTACATAAGTGGCATTATCTTTAAATCTAGGTTTTCTTAGTAAGAGAACATTTTCATATCTGCCAAGTATTTTTTGATCATTTGCTATAATATTTTTGTCATGGTTTGTTAATAAAGATGCATATGTGCATTTGGATGACTGAAATATGAGTCAGATTATACCACACAATGTTCACAATCATTATACAATAGCTGTGACAATTTCATAATCCACAATCTTGTAAAAAATTACGGGAACCAGAAAAAAAGTGTGAAAAAAAAATTAGGTGATGCAATAATTTTTTTCACCACTGTAAACCGAGATAAATTATTTATTAACTAAAAAGCAAAATACCACTGTGTAATAAGTTGAGATAAATTATTGATCAATTCAAATAAAAATACTACTGAGTAATAAACTGAGATAAAATATTCATTAGATAAAAAGAAAAAATGCCATTATGTAATAAATTGAGATAAATTATTCATTAAATAAAAAGTATAATTCTACTGTGTAATAATTAAGTTAACTGTAACTATTGAAGATTTATTTCATTAGACATGCATAAGAGTTTATTTATTTGTAAATTCTATCTCTAGAATATTGTCGGAAAAATTTAGAAATTACAAGTCATGGTTGTTAGAATTAATGTTAGCAGGTATTAGTTTCACAGACTCAGTACCATTCAGATGGTCATTGATTTTGTCTAATTTTACCCATCAGCCATCATAGATGTCAAGCTAGCGTTTGGGCAAATATTGCCTGAGCAGAGATGATGTGGATGTTTTGTGGTATAAGTGCTTGCCTTGGATTGAAATTTGTAATGCGCTTGACCATTCAGAGTGCTTAATGCAATTAGCGTCAGTAATCGCCTAATCAAATTTAATTTTTGTTGAATAAAAAACTTTCAAATGCGACTGTAGCTTTTTTCCCAAAAAACTTTGTCTTCAAAATAAGGGTGCATCTTATACACCGGTGCGTCTTATATTCTGAAAAATACGGTATTTAATTAGCTATATTTGTTTGAGGTATTTTGTATTTGAATGCACAAAGTTTATAAAATTCAAAGGCAGTGCTTTGTATTTAAAGTAGTTACAACAGTTAAGTGATCTGCCTAGACTAATGATGTTTGAGGTTAGGTACATGAATTTCCTAATGAACCTGGTTACTGTGTGGAGAGTCTCAGTGACTGCAAGATTAAACCTAAGTGGGTTAAACCTATTCCACAGCATGTGGTACCTACCAAACACCTCTAGTACAAAAGACACTTTGAACCAAATCATCTAATCAGAAATGACAAACTGATTGACTTATCTAGTAAGAGACACCAGATGTAGTGATGTTTCCAAAACCTGGGTATCAGGAGCAAGTATTAAAACTCAACAGAGTGATGGTACCAGTATCCTAAGTGTCTGTAAACAAATGAAGAAATTCACACACATAGCCTTAACACATAAACACTGCATGGGTGTCCACAGAAAGTTTTCCAGGTGTGGGAGCAAAAAGTGTGTAATTGTGAAGTGAATACAAATTTCACATACATATGCTGAATGAATAAAGAAAGAATTATGTTTCTCATCAGGTTGTATAAATGAAGGCTACTAAAACACTGAATAGAAGAATGTGTTCTCCAAAGCTTATTGTTAATATGATTGAGTCCCTCACCAACATAATAACATGCAGTGAGTCGAGAGGAAACATATAGAGTTACATAATGTATGTATTAGATTCAGTTTGTAAAACAGTGTGTGTTTGATTACCTTTGCTTTATTTGTTTCATTGATGAGCTTCTCAAGTAATATTTGCATAATATGTAAATACTCAACTTTTGATGTCCATTAAAACACAACATTATATTCTTGTTTTTATGGTCTGTGATAAAAGATTGTGGAATGGTCTTACACTTTTTTTATCTTATTTCATGTTTCATTTGCCATACTGTTTTGTTACTGTAGTCGGAAGATCTGTTTACATTAATCGAAGCTCATGAAGGCAAACCTTTAAAGCTGTATGTGTATAGCACAAATACTGATACTTGCCGTGAGGTCACCATAACACCAAATAAACACTGGGGAGGAGAAGGAAGGTAAGAAATGTAGGGTAAAAGTAGTGCCTTTACAACTCAGGGTTATGGTTATGTTATTAGTAGATTCTCTTCCAGTTTTGCACAAAGACTTTGATTATACACAAAAGTAGACTGAAAACTTTTATTCCAAGATTATTTTTTGAATACTTAGGTTTAGAAATTTAAGTTTTTGCTATGATGTTTTCTTTCAATAAAAATACAAGGTATTGCGTATAATGTAAAAGCTTTTAAGTTATTGAATATTAATTATATTATATTAAAAGGAAGTGATTGTAAATGTGATATACCTAATGCTTATATTTTTGTTGTTGTACAGGTATATTTTTAAGTTTTGGGACATGAATTTTAAAATAACATAAATATTATTTTGTCATTTTTTTGCTTTAGTTTAGGGTGTGGGATTGGTTATGGTTACCTACACAGGATACCTTTCAGAGAACCAGGGCACACTAAACCTGAATCTTGTATTAATCAGACAGTCAACACTCAGCCTTCACCACCTATAAGTTCAGTAACAGATGGTTATTCATCGGTAAGAAACTTGCTGAAAAACCATGATTAGGGATTTTAAATTTTTGTTGGGTATATTAATATATTTTATCTTTTGTAAAATGAGTTTCCAAAAATCTTTTTACTTACATTTTTGAAAAGGAATGTCACACATTCAGATTCTTGAGTTTCCTTCAATATGAATATATATATATTTCCTTTTGTGACACAGTGCTATTCATGAAGATGTTTTTCGTGTAACAGCTGTGAAAACAGCATTTGAAAAAATTTCAATAATGAAAATAATCATAATACATGCTATTTTTACTCCGTCTGCTTACTATTTCCTTCCACAGATTTGATCCAAGTATCAACAAGTGCAGCTCCATGTGTAATGTGCATAAGAATGTTTGTCACATGTCAAAAGCAAATGACTAACAGCTAAATGCACAACTTAATCTGATTATAATGCACATTTGGATGAGATATTAGTGATGAAAGTAAATTAATTTTTTGTTTGAGATCTACCAAGCCTATTTTTTGTACCACCTTTATCTGTTGAATTACCATCCATAGGACAAGGCTGTCTGCTAGTAATAATAAATAAATAAAAGCAAAATTATTTTTTTGTTTTTTAATCTCGTACTTATTTTCAGGTACAATTGACAGCCCCTTCCACTACCCCAAATGCAATGATAGAAGATGCCATCCAAAGTATTTCAGCCTTAAATGTAAATACTTCACCTACTCCACATCCATGCACAGCTAAGAATCCATCCGGTAGGATTCTCTTTAACTCAAAACCTTTTTATCTTCTTCCTGCCATTAGAATTACGTTTACCCACTAGATATAGTTTAAATGAGAGTTTTTGTACAACTTAAGCTAAAATAACTTAATATTTTTAAGAGCAAACTGTAAAATTAAATGGATGATTTCCTATCAAAAAGGGCAATCTTCTTTTCGTCAAAAAATAAAATAACATTAACATTACTACAATTATTTTTGTTTATTGGCACTAAGATGAAGCCATATTGAAATTTAATTCAAATTTTAGCTGCTGAAGTTAACTTATTTTTCTATAAGACCAGGAATACACATTTAGTTATAATCTAAAAATGTTATGTGCTTCCTAGATGTTTGAGATGAAAAAAGTAATATTCTTTCATAATTTATTTATACATAATTGCTTCAGTAGCAATTGATTGAAATAATTTATCTTTTTTGCTGACTTTTTAGATAATTCACATTAAAGAAAACTGAGTAAACCCCACATATTCTGTTGACTTTGAGCTTTAGTGATTAGATTATTTGTTTGTAGAAAAATTATTAACCTCAAATTGGGCAAGTTAATCATAGTTTCATAAGTTAAAGAGAAAAATACATAATTAATTCTAAGTCTGAATAACTGAATTAGTTAAGTAGCATTTTATAATACAAGGCATTTTTCTTAGAAAATTTCAATGGGCACCCATTTTACTTTAGGGGCTCAAAATATACATCTTTGTGGATGCCAAAAGGGCCCAAAATGATTATCAATCAAGGCCAGCAAGGCAAAGGCACTATATTGTCAACAAATCTAACAATGTACCTGGGCTCATTGGATCAGTGAACCCACACAGGCCTTCTACTGGAATCCCCCCCCCCCCAAAAAAAAAGAAAATGCAAGAAGTTATATAATACTGGTTTCTTCATACAAGGGGTCCTCAAAATCTCCTTTCACCTGGTTCCAAAGATTTCTTGCTGAGATGCTGGACCAGAGACTGAAAAACTGTAATGGGTATGGCCCCCTACAACTTAAAAACTTCACAGGGAAAATTATTTGTAGGGTGTTTTACCCATGGATGTGTACACAGAATGTGCATAAATGCTTACTTGAAACATTATTTTAAATATTCATCTTATATAGTTTAATATAACTTTGAAGGACAACAAGTGACCTTTTGGTCCATCTACACCACCATTTCCACTAAATTGAACTCAACACTAAAAGATACATAGCCAGCCCTTATCATTCAAATATTTATCAAGCTTTGCCTTAAACTCATAACATTAACTGCATCTACCACATCTGAAGGCAACTCATTCTAAAGCCCAACCATTTTATTAGCAAATTAAAGCTGTTGTAGCTGAAGATGACTCCTACCCTGCCAAAATTTATACATGTGTTTCCTAGTATTACCATTCCCACTAGTAAATACAACAAAGAAAAATGTTACTCCAACACTCTCAGTTCTTTTAATAACCTTAAACACCTCAGTCAGATCCCCACTAACTCATCTTTTTTCAAGACAAACAAGCTCAGAGATTGTAACCTATCCTCGTATGATAACCTTTCCATGCCAGGTATCATCTTGGTAGTCCTTCTCTGAACCATTTCCAACAATTCAATGTCTTTTCTAAGGAAAGGAGCTCAAGACAGAACACAGTACTCCAAATTTGGCCTAACCACCTATGCGATGACACTATAACCTCTAATTTTGTGATTGTAGTTGGCAGAGGTCCATCTTTGCAGTAGTGTGCCCAGTGGTTGTACTAGACCATAGGCCAAGGCACCCACTAAAATGTGCCTGGGCACCCATCTAATACTATCATTGAATCATTGCAAAGTGATAGAAAGTTCAACAAATTTGGCAGTCTGCTGTTTTTTTTAACTTCAGTTAATGATAATAAATCTAGTTTCTGAATATTTGAGTTCAAAATTATCCAAACTTTGGAATATTTTCTATAACAGTTGTTTTAAAAATGCTCATGTAATCTACAGCACGAAGCTTAAGCAACTCTATAAATAATTTAAAATCATAAATAATATTCAACATTAAACTGGTACACAATTAAAAACATTTTATTTAGGTCTATCTATGCCCTTCAAAAAGTTGACGACTCTACATGTTTCGATGTTACAACGTCATCCTCGAAACATGTAGAGTCGTCAACTTTTTGAAGGCCATAGATAGGCCTAAATAAAATGTTTTTTAATTGTGTACCAGTTTAACGTTGAATGTTATTTATGATTTTAACTTTATACACAACTGCCAAAATACTATAAGTTGTAAATACGTATAAGCCCATCTTCAGCAAGAAACCGACATGACGTAGATATGAATTGATTGAGGTGATGGAGTTCATAATTCAGTTAATAACAATTTATAAAATACAAGTGATAACATTGTGTACTTAAAGTATTCTGGTAGCTCTGTACTTGATAAAAAATTCGACAATAATATAAAGATAACTAGAATTAGGTCACGTTTTGTTTGGGGCGACGTTGGTGAAGATTGCATTTTCTAATATTTGAGAATCTGTGATACAAAAAATGGGTGACTCTTCATGGCAACATTTATCAACTTATTTTATTAAGCTCAAGCCTTTGTGGTAATAACCACAAATAATATACAGGGCAACATAATGGAACGTTTTCCATTAATGTTGCTCAAATTGAAATATATAGCTTGGACTGAATTTTAATCTTCTACACACTCTCTTCCTGTCCTCTGGTGGGACAGCGGTAAGTATACGTATTTACAACGCTAAAATTCAGGGTTAGATTCCCCGCGGTGGACACAGCAGATACCTCAATGTAGCTTTGCTTTAAAACAAACAAACACTCTCTTCCAATACACGGGGAAAGTGTTGTCCAGATTTAATAAGACAACTATACATTTTCGGTTACATCAACGCTAAAATCCGAGGTTCAATTCCCCGCGGTGGACACATAGATACTCGATGTGGCTTTGCTCTAAAACAAACACTCTCTTCCAGTACATGCGGAAAATGTGGTCCAGATTTGATAAGAGAACTTTGGATTCTCGGCTTCATTATTTACATGTCATTATGACAGAATGAAACTACTCGACATGGGTGAGTTATAAGAAACAGGCATGTCCCACTATTCGATTAGTCAACAATAGCCGAAGTAGGCGTTGTTTCAAGGGTATTTTACGCAGTGTATCAATGGTTTCTCAGCAATGAAACCTTCAACCTAAGGCTTATTTATATACACAGAGCAGACGAATCAGAAAAAAATTAAGATTTTTTTTTATTTCTGAAGTTTTTTTTAATGTAGATATAAGTATTTGTTTGCAGCCAAATCAAACCACAGACAAATAAAATTTGTTAACTGCTTATATAATTAAAAGTAATTATAAATAAAATAAAAACACGCCTAAATTTTCTTGAACATACTCAAAAGAAAAATGTTGCTTTTTTGTTTTCTTTTTCGCAGCTTGGCACTTCTTTCAAATCTCAACTCATGCGGCTTTCCAGTGACAGGTTAGGTTAGGAAAACGTAACAGAGAGGGAAGGAAGGGGGGGGGGGGTGAATTTGTACTGCGTAAAGTTTAAAAGGACCTGTTACGACAGTGGAAGTCACGTGACGTTGGTAACACGTAATGACTTCTAGAAAGATCGGGGAATATCACGAATAATCCAGTATTTGCTAGGCGCCCTCTATTCTTGTATATAAGTGCGCCAGACAATGAATCGGGATAGAATTGGAGAGATAGAGACGGACAATTGAGTCAAGTGCGGTAGTAAATAAAGAGCGTGAAACGTTCGTTGTGAATTATAGCGTGTGTTTATGTTAAAGTAACTGTGGAAACTAAGTCTATTGCAAAGTTGTATTGAGAAAGAATAAACTAGTTTTATTTAAGAAAGAACTTGTATCGCTGAAGTTTCTCGGGAAGAATTTCTATGGGAAATTAACAAACGAATAGACTTAACAGACCGTACATAATGACAAACCGTACATGTCAAACTCACACTGTGGTACAGAGAAACTTGGACAATTTGATATTTTTACTCTTTCTAATTAGGACAAAAAATGTGGCTAAAAACCGGGACGATCTCAGTTTTACTGCAACGTGTGTTAACCCTAATAATATATCATGAAGATTCTGTTAACATTATTAAAAAAATCAATATTTTTTCTTTTTAGAGCAAAGCAACGTTCAGCTATCTGCTGTGTCCACCGAACCCTAGATTTTAGTGTTGTACGTAAATCCATAAACTTACCGTTGTCCCACTGCTTATTTGTTTTGAATTACGTGAAAAGCTATACGAGGGCTATCTGTCCCTAATTTAGTAGTGAAAGATTAGAAGAAAGACAGCTAGTCATAATTACCCACCGCTAACTCTTGGGCTACTCTTTTACCAACTGTCCCACCGAGTGACCCCAATACATGTATTTAACTAACGAGGCGAGCTTATCAGAATAAAAAAAATGCTTTCTAAGACATCTCAAATTTCTAATCAGTCTAAACTTATAAACGTAAGAAAAAAAAATACACCGAATTAACTAAAAGTTAGACTACAGCTGAGAGTCTTTACTCATGATTTAAGTTTTATATAAATTTGTGCTCAACCTTGTATCGAAAAATATAAAAATACAATATTTTAGGGATGATCATCTAATGTTAACACTTGCAGCTACGAAAGATTTAGTAAAGAACTTGTTTTTCTGGCTAAGAACTGTCGTTTCATCTTATGGAGAATGTAAATAATCCGAAATATTGTCCAAGCACCCAAGTAATCATGTTAAGTGGTATTCATGAATTTTAGTAAACCGCTGATTCTCAATGAAAATTGTGCTCCTAAAATTATAATTCTTGTTTATCTTTGTTACATTAAAAATTAAAGATAGCTAACCGAAAAATATGAAGTAATCTTTGGATTTCTCTTTTTAAAGAGACTGATGGAAATGGCTTTAACTTTATTTAAAACTAAATATATCTAGAAAAGTCATCGAGTAATATTTATACGTCACTGATGAGCATGAAACGGCATTGAAAATTGTTGATTTCTTCTGAATTATTGAAATGTGATTAGCCAATTATTTTTCAGATATTTATGAGATTTTTGAGGTTGTTTTGAAACGTGTTTATGTTTTTATTCGTGAATTTGTTAGAATGAATTAAATTTAGAATTTTAAATATATAAATAAATATTACGACAGCGGAAGTCACGCGACGCTGGAAGCATGCGCACTGGAGTTTCTAGAAGGATCATGACTTTTCCTGGCAACTCTAGTCTGTTATAGGCGCCCTCTTTTTTAGTATATAAACCCGGCAAATAAAGCGAAGCTATAATGGCAGATAGATAGATATAGAGACAGATAATTGAGTCAAGCGAGTGGTAGTGACGGTAATATAACGTGTGTGTTTTATTATCGAGATTACAAACCTATTGACTGTGGAAATTCTGTGTATTGCAAGGTTGTATCGAGAAAGAATAAACTAGTTTTAATTAAGAAAGGACTTGTATCGCCGTAGTTTCTCGGAAATAATTTATACCGGAAATTAACAAACAAGCAGATACGCAACATAAATAATGATAAAGGAAAGAATTGTTACTAGGCAACGCTAGTTACCTGCCGCTTAAAGATAAGAATTTTGTAGGCGCGGCAGCAGATATTACAATATTTTGGTAACGGTATTTAAGGAATTGATACGCTTGCGTAAAATCAATTAAACTTATTTTTCTATGCACGATATTCATAGATACATTTAGTTTTATTTCATAAATATTAATTTTGTACGTTATCACCAAAGACATTAATTAGCTAAATCATCGCCCACCGTCTAAAATATTCGTGATTCTATGTTTCCTATTCAATAGGAAATCCTTCAAGATTTTGTATTTAGTAATGCAAAAATAAATTTCAAAAATGGAATGACAAATTAAGCTAAAAAAATGACATCTATTTTCTTAATTTTTTCCTTATAATTTGATTTTTTTTACGATTCAGTAATTCGTACATAAAGAAACGCGTTGTCGTAATAGCTAAAAGTATGTTTGTTTGTAATGAAGCACAAAGCTACGCAATGGGCTATCTGTGCCCTGGCTACCACGGGTATCGAAACCCGGATTCTAGCGTTATAAATCCGCAGACATACCGCTGTGCCACTGGCGGGAATCTAAAAGTAAGTGAGTGATCTTAAAACGTGCATTATTTAACTAAAAATTAAATAGACAATATTTTTGATTCACAGTTTAATAAATGTAATTATATGTTCATTATAAGTAAGGTCAAGACTAAATATAACATAAATTGTTTTATAATTTCAAATGTTAACAATAAGAACGGTAAGCTGTAGTGATAATTTTACACACTTGGCGCCAGTTATATAATAAAAAAAATATAATCCGTATGTCATTTGTGCCTTAAACCATGATTAATATAAAATTAAATTAAAATAAATATCATTTTACAGATTTCACAAACTCAAAAGCAAAGTTTGATTGTTATTGTATATAAAAAACCGAAGGAAATACCACACTGAAATGCATTAAGTTGGTGATACGACATCTACCGCACAACCTTCGAATTTATTC